CTTTTAATGAATATTACATTAATGAATGAAGCCAAGATGTGTCAGAGTTCAATGTTTGGTCAATGTTGCTGAAAAAATTCTGTCACAAAACTGAACTATAAAACTACTTTATTTTCATTTACATTTATAATATAAATTGACTTTTATCAAAATATAGAAAAATCTTTTATATTAGGATATACTTTATAAACAAATCCTATCTTTCATTTTATTTAGAGTAATACCTTTGTATCATATGAATAATATTAAGTATCACAAGTGTGTGACTACAATAATGTTTTGATTAGTTTTATCAAAATCACAAAATTTGTGTAGATTAAGAATGCAATGTATTTTTGAAGGGAACCTGGAGGTGCCATTTATGGTAGTAGTTCAACACATTAAATTGATACACGTGAAGTTGCAGAGCAATATGTCTAAACACAACATGCAATTAGAAACGGAACAAATCTGTTTCCATGTCTTCAAAATTTTGCTCTTTCCAAATAGTAATTTGTAGCCAAGTACAGTTTCTCATAGATTAGCAATTCTATTTAGTTTTCACTTTCCAATGCAAAGACTTCTGTGAAAGATAAAGTATTACATGTTTCAGAGAAATTTCCAGATGAAAGTTAGTACATGGAGAGGCAATTCACTGTCTTTTTCTCTGATCATGTGCGCCCCCTGTTGGTCCTGAGGACTCCTGCAAGGAGGTTTGTGTCTAAGCTCACACTGAAATCCCCTCAATGTGTATATCTCTTGCACAGTAATAAGTGGCAGTGTCCTCAGCTCTCAGGTTGTTCATTTGAAGATAGAGGATGTTTTGGGTATTATCTCTGGAGATGGTGAACCGACCCTTCACAGATGCACTGTACTCTGTTGTGTAACCATTAGCTTTGTTTCTAATTAAACCCAACCACTCAGGTGCCTTCCCTGGAGGCTGACGGACCCAGCTCATGTAGAAATCAGTGAAGGTGAATCCAGAAGCTGCACAGGAGAGTCCCAGAGAACCCCCAGGCTGTACCAAGCCTCCTCCAGATTCCACCAGCTTCACCTCACACTGGATACCTGCAATAGTCGAGAATCCTGGTCAGAAATATGTCACACATATTTACTCTCCCTCTTACTTACACATAGTCACACACTCAGCATTTCTTATTCACCATAAAATACCATTTAAAAGTGTTAGAAGGAAAATCCAGTTCAGCCACAACTTCATGGTGAAAGATCTGTGATTAAGGCTGGTCAATGAACCTGGGAACTTAAGGCTGGGGAAATCAGGACTAGGCCCCTATGCAAGAGCTAGAGTCTGGACAGGTTTTTATGAGAAGAGAGTGGCTCCCAATTTGCATGTCCTCCTGCTATAGCATCAGCTCCTGAGTTGAAGCTGTACCCGGTGCAGTCATTACAGAATATAGTAATGAATGGATGATTTCAGTAGCAGGAGCAGTGTTACAATATTGTTTATTATGTGTGTTTATTATGTGATAACACTTCAGTATTTTATTGTGATTTAACCAGTTCAGGTTCCTATCAGCAATATGTAAGAATTCCTTTTCTTTTTATTTATACCAGATATGATGATTATTTTCTTGAAGAAAACCGTTCTTACTGAAGTGAGACAGTAATGTCACCTTTTGTTTTCTCTCTGAAGTCTAAGAATATTGAACTCTGTTTCATATATGTATTGTACATTCCTGTTTTCTTTTCAGAGAACCATCCATGTTTAATGCTTCCATCCGTTGGTATTATAATTTGGGTTAATGCTTTAGCTTACTGTAGATTCTGTCTACTAATATTCTTCAAAATTTTAGTGGGGACAGATTTTTTCTCCAATTTTTAATAGATACTAAATTCATTCATTTTCATTAATCATCAAGTGAAGCCAAGTAATTTGAATTTATATTTCATCTGGACAATTAAAATTGAATAATATATATTTAAAAACACATTTATATGCTACCGATATGTGTAAAGGTCAATCATAATTACTGTTGGTGAGAGAGTTAATTATTATAAGTATTATGGAAATCAGTGTGATGACTTCTAAAAGAACTAAAATTTAATGTCAAAAATGTAATAATTAGTCAAACTAGCTTTGGAATAGAATCATCTTAGATATCCTTAATCCACTGAATGTGTAAAAGAGAGGTGATCAATATACACATTGCAATTGCATTTGCTAGTAAAGCATAAAAGAAATCAACTATGAAGACATTTGGTTGAACTGGAAAACATTATATTTGAATACAGTTAATCAGGCTCAGAAAGACATACATTACATCTTTTCACTAGTATGTGGATCTTTGCCTCAAATAATTTTAATTCCTTGGTCTTAAGGTATTGTGATTATGTATACTTAAGCATTTGTAAATAACTCAAGCAGGTATTCTCATTATAGGTATCAAATAGTTTTATTAAATAATATTTTGTAAAATTTCATACTTGTATGTATATACTTTAATGATACCCAACTTTCTTAGCTTCCTCAAACCACTTCCCACAACCAAGAATGCCTATCCCTTCTGAAATCATGTCCTCCTCTCAATTAGCCAATAACCCAGCATACAGTTTGATTAACTCTACGCATAGGCTCATGTTTGTAGTTCCATGCTCTAGTGTATGGGAGGAGAATGAAATCTGGTGTTTAAAACAAACAAATTAATTTATCAATTAAAAATAATTAATTGAATGTTTAAATTTTTTTTTTAAAAAAGTTGACCATCATAGAGACAGGGGAGAGGGGAAGGGATGGGGTGTTTGTGGAGGGGAAACTCTGAAGGAGTATTACGTTTTAAATGTAAATAAATAAAATAACTAATAAAAATGGAAAAGTTTACCTTGGTTACCTCATTTAGGGTGATATTTTCTAGTTCCATTCATTTGCCTGCAATATTATGACTTTTATTAACATGTTTTTAATAGCTATGTAGTATTCCATTGTGTAAATGAAACACATTTTCTGTATCCATTCTATAGTTGAAGTTTGAAGTGTCTGGCTATTACAAATAAAGCTAAAATGAACATAGTGGATCATGTGTCCTTGTGGCATGGTAGAGCATCATTTGGGTATATGCCAGTCGCTTAGCGTAACTGTCCACAGTCAAACAGTAGAGCTTGGGAACACTTATGTAAAAGTTAGGGGAAGGAATGAAAGCCCTGGTCAGGAATGGGAACCCCACAGGAAGATCAACATAGTCAATTAACCTGGACCTGTTAGAGATCTGAAAGCCTGAATCACCAACAAAACAACATTCACATGCTGGAACATGGCCCCTAGCACATATGTAGCAGATGTGCAGCTAGTCTCCATGGATGCCTTGTCTGGTCTCAGTGAGAGAGTTTGCTCCTAGTCTGGCAAATATTCATGTGTCAGGGTTGGGGAATACCCAGGGAAGATCCACCCTCTCAGAGGAGAAGGGGAGCTGGGATATTAGATAAGGGAGGGATTGTGAGGAAGAGTAATATTTAGATGTAAATAAATAAAAAATATTGAGCTGGGTGGTGGCCCTATCCTTCAACTGGGGATTACCCTATCTTCAGGGGGTGGTCTCTATAGGTTCTATTCTCCTTTGTTGGGTGTTTTGGCTAATGCCATTCCTGATAGGTATTGAGAACTTCTCACTTTCCTGGAGCCTGGGACTTTCTAGAGGCTACCTCCTGTTTTCCATCACACACTGCTATGTATTTCTATTAATTTTCTTTCCCGATGAACTTCTCTCTTGTTTCTCCTGCCCTTAATTCCCTCCCTCTCCTCTTTCCCTCCTAGGTTCCTCCCTCCCTCTACTTCTTGTTATTTTTATTTTGTACCCCTTTCTGAGTAGGACTGTAGCATTCACACTTTAATCTTCTTTCTTCTTAAGGTTAATACAGTAAGTGAGTTGTAGCTTGGGTATTCTGAGCTTTTGGCTAGTATCTACTTATCAGTGAGTACATTCCATAGGTGTCCTTTAGTGTATAGGTTACATCAGATAAAATGATACTTTTAAGTTGCATCCATTTGCCTGAGAATTACAGGAAGTCATAATTTGTAATAGCTGAGTAGTATTCCATTTTGTAAGGGAATCGAATTTTCTGTATCTATTTTTCCTTGAGGGACATTAGGGTTGTTTCTAGCTTCTGGCTATAATAAATAAGGCTGTTATGAGCAAAGTGGAGCTATGCTCCAATTTTTAATAGGGTTATTTGATTCTCTAGAGTCTAACTTCTTGAGTTCTTTGTATATTTTGGACATTAGCTCTCTATTGGATATAAGTTTGGTAAAAATCTATTCCCAAGCTCTAGGTTGCTATTTTGTCCTATTGGCAGTGTCCTTTGCCTTATATCAGTTATTCACCAATTGGAGAAAAAAACTTCTGTCATTTGTATTCTTGTAAAAGTTCAGCATTTTCTAGGAAGAAGATATGACAAGAGCCTACTTCAGCAATGTTAGGAAAGAGACACCATGCAAACAAAATTATCTACAGTGTTCAAAATATTATGCATGTTGAATCAACTGCAATGATATCTCCTTTTTCAAGCCTTGAGAATATGTAGTAAACAAAGAACTTCAAACTTTTTAATCCAGAATTGTTCCTGTTGAAGGTAAATGCAGGGACAATAGTGGAGCAGAGACAAACACAAGTCACCTAGTGACCAGCGCAACTTGAGATCCATCTCATCCTTGCATACAAAATGCTGACACTATTATTAAGGCCATATTGTACATGAATACAGGAGTCTGACATGGCTGCTCTCTGAGAAGCTCTACCAGCAACTGACTGAGACAAATGCAGCTACTTAGAGCCAACAATTGGTGTGAGCCTGGGGATCCCTATGGAAGAGTTAGAGGAAGGACTGAAGGAGGTGAAGATGATTGCAACCCCATTGGAAGAACCATATTTTCAACTAACTCAGAAACTTTAGAGTTGCCAGAGATTAAACCAAAAACCAAGGAACTTACATGGACTGGTTCATGGCCCTGGGAACATGTGTAGCAGAAGACTCCTTTGTACAGACTCAGTGGGAGAAGATGAGTCTATTCCTGTGAAAACTTGATGCCCCAAGGATGAGGGATGATGGTGGGGGTAAGAAAAGTGGGTAGATATATGGGAGAGAACCCTCTGAGAGGAGAATATGGGGGAAGGACTTTGATACAGGGGACCAGAAAGTGGGACAACTTTTGAAATGTAAAGAAATAAAATAATTTAATGAAATTTTAAAAAAGAAAAAATACAAAAGAATCTGAGCCTGGGTTTATACATTATTTTTGTGAGAATAGATCACACCAGGAAGAGGTTTATATGGAGGCAAAAACACAACTTAACATTTGAACATTAGAGTGATGCTCAGGCAATACCAAGGCTATTCAGAAGGATGAAAATACTTGCATCATAAGATAGAGAGTGATCTTTACATCAGATGTACAAGGTCTTGGTTGGTATATGCTTTGACTCTGAGTCCAATAAGAATGCTTTGTTGTAAGATTGGTCCTTAGGGCAGTAGTGCTAAGGAATCAAGAGGCACAGAGGATAGAGATAGTGACTAGTTAATGATCCATGTGATGCTGATAAAGAATAGGTATCTTTCTTCTGTGGTCCTTGTGAGCTTGTAGTACTGACAAATTGCCATATACTGTGTTGCCTTCAATGGAGCCAACACCAATATGGGCACTAAAACCTCAAAAATATTGTGATAAATAAGCCTCTCTAATTTATAATAAACATTTTTATACAACAGAACATAGATAGTATATCAAATTTATATACATATGTAACAAAAAGATATTATAGATTGAGGCTTGTTATGAGAGCAATGCAGAGTTAGAGATAAACATTCAAATTCATGTAAAGAGTTTGATGTTTAGTGGCAGGAAAAGTTGAAGGGAGAACTACCCATAGAAAACCAGATAGAGATGCAGACTGATGGAGGGCTTCTTATTCTGACATAAAGCAGGGGACCCTCTTGGAGTCCTTCCCCAGCATGGAGAGGAGAGTCTGAGAGTCTTTGGTGACAAGGCATCCTACAGGTAAGGAGTTAGCAAGGGGACAGATTCATTCAGGAGCAATTTCAGGACAATCTAATAACTGACTTTCTCAAACCCCATGCTACTTCTGTGTCTCTGACTTCCTAGCACTCAGGACATTTCTTGTTGCTCAGTAGCACCCAGGTGCTTCCTTACTTATACAAGTTTCACAGTACAAAGACAGATTAATGATTATTCATGTGGTTACAAATATGTGCTTGACTTTTCATAACATGACCAGGGTTACAAGTTCAGTTGCAATTAGAAAATTTAAAC